AGTTTCCCAACTCTTCTCTCCACAGCCCCCGTCTCACATGTTAACAACAGTGGCACGGCCAGAAGGCTTGCAAAGCTTCTGGTCAGAATGTTTGAAACTGCTCTCATGGATGACAGATCTAGTCATAGATGCAGTTATGCAGTTCCGCAGGGCCTGTAAGACGGAGCTCTTCCGCCAGGCTTCCGAGTAGGGGCTGCCACTGCCATTGTACCACCACCGTATTAACATCATGAGGCGCACTGGCCCTGGTATGGGGATGACAGTTATAGTGTAACATCAATTGAGCAGAGACAATTGTGTTTACTCGGAGTGTGTTATGTTGAGCACCGACTTTTAACTGTTTTATAGGTAATGATTGTTTATTGTTTTGTTGTTTTATGTATGGCATTTGCCTCTATGTTCGCCGCCCTGAGCCCATGTTGGAAGGGCGGGATACAAATTAAATAAATGAGGCGTCCCAAGTCCCCCCGGGGGGCGGGGAAACCCCCGCCCCAGAGGCCCATTCCCCGGCGGCGGATCGGGCCCTGGGGGGAACCCCACCCCGGCGTGCACATCACCAGGAAGTGACGTTATGACACCGGGCACGCTGGGGGCGGGGCCACGGTCATCCGAGTAATGCTCCAGCTGCGGACCGGGAGTCCCCAGGTAAATGCATTTTTCAACTTGGTAACCCTAAAATAAATAAATAAATAGAAAGGAGGAGGAGCAGTGTTATGTCTTTAGCTATATCAAAAGCCATGTTAAGCTTGAGAGCAAAAGAAGGATTGTAAGATGTAACAATACTATTGGCTGATGTATGAATGTACCCAATCAGAGTGCAGAGAAATGTTCAGGAGGGAACTGATCTGATTGGATATTATCTATGTAATGCCATTGGTCCTTAACTATTCTAGGGTGTGGCTACACCAGCCCGGGATAGTTTAAAAGGAACCCTGCTCCACTGTTTGTTGTGTGTTCTTCACTGTTCCTGTTTGAAACCAATAAAGCTGATTCACTGTTACTTACGAGACGGCATTGAGTCAATACTTGACAAGGAAGAGATTGGATTTATACCCCACCCTTCACTCAGAGCAGCTTACAACCTCCTTCCCTTCCTCTCCCCACAACAGACACCCTGTGAGGTAGGTGGGGCTGAGAGAGCTCTGAGAGAACTGCTCTAGAGAGAACAGCTCTGAGAGAACTGTGACTGACCCAAGGTCACCCAGCTGGCTGCATGCAGAGGAGTAGGGAATCAAACCCGGTTCTCCCAGATTAGAGTCCATGTTCTTAACCACTATACCAAACTGGCTGGGGCAAACACAGAGTAATGCTCCTGTGTAGATGTATGATGTGGCCTCATGTGGACAGTTCCAGTTGCCATATCTAAAAAAAAAAGGGTACTGTAGAGCTGGAAAAGTGCAGAAGGCAACCCCAAGCACCAAGACTATAGAGCATCATTGCCCCAGACATAGTGTTACATCTGTACCTTGTGGCTAATAGCCACTCATGGACCTCTGCTCCATATATTTATCCAATCCTCTCTTAAAACTGTCTATGCTTGTATCCGCCGCCACTTCCTGCGGCAATGATTTCCCCGTATTAATTACTCTTTGGGTGAAGAAGTACTTCCTTTTATCTGTTCTAAGCATATTGGGTTACAGCCAAGCCCTCTAATCCACTTCATAAAAGCCCTAGTTGTTTGTCTGAAAACAGTGCATGAATCCGTGTCCATGTTTTAGTGTTGTTAATGCCCTGCTGAACGCTTTTCCCCAACCCTAACCGGAGCTTCAAGTGTTGCATGGAGTGATAAGTTATCTGGGGCTTTTATAGTCACAGACAAGTAGGTCATTCTTCTTCCTCACAGTTAACCTTGTTCTTATCAAAACACAAGTTTGGGAGTGAAGGACAAGGCGTGCTGAAAAAGAACCCCGTTGCGAAATAGCCAAAAATAGCAGATTGGCAGGCCAGTTTGACGGCAAAGGGAGCCAAGGAGGCTTTTCCGTTCACAGTACAACACACTTAGCACTGTGAAAATTTAAACGCAGTCGTTTAATTTGTCCTCTCTCTTAACCTGGAGGGAAACGAGGTAATTTTCATAATTTACACTGATAATAACTGGCATGTTTTGCCCAAATATGGTGGCCTAGTTCTCACCAAGGTGTCTCAAATGCATACCACTTTGGGGGAGTTCACAAGATGGAATCCCCCCCCTTTTGGTATGGAGGGTCATTCAAATTTGTAAAACCTCCCTCCAAACAAAACAAAACAAAAAGACTATATTGAAAAAGTTTAGCATGTGAGGGAGAGGACCAAGGTGGAATTAATTTCCCTGACACACTAATTTTCTATGTGACAAGATTTGACAGGGAGGGAGGCATGGAGGAACTTTCATCAGGTGAACACTCACCTGTAGCTTTATACAAAGTTGGGCTTCACCTGCTTCAGACTGAGGAAACCAAGTTGTTTCCTAGAAAAGTCAACAAATTGCTCGGCTTTTCCAAAACACAGTTCTGACCTCAGGATGACTCAAAGGAGTCATTCCCTGCCTCTTTCTCTCCTTCCTTTCTTCTGTTCCTCCTTAACCCAACATCTTTCAGACTGAACCACTTTCCATCTCTCTGAAGAAGTGAGCCGTGACTCACGAAAGCTCATCCCCTGCCACATACGTTGTTAGTCTTTGAGGTGCTGCTGGACTCTTGCTCTTTCCATCTAGGTTCTTCATACCATGTTTCATCCTGGTGGAACAAGCCTGCTTGATTTTCAACATGTGTAGGGCTTTCGGGCTTCATACAGGTCAGAGTCTGAAAAGTACACTTTGAAAGCAGCCCCATATGATCACCTTGCAATTCGGACTTCTTGTGCAGGAATTTTTTAGGAAGCCTTCTCAATAAGCACAACTTGTCTGCCAAAGATCAACCCTCAACAGGCATACTCACACTGAAGCATCTTATTGACAGGGTCAATTATAGCCCTAAGTGGAACAGCTGAGACACAGGATTACCACTTCATTGAGAATTAGCTAACATTCCAAGTGACTATCGGAGGTTACCCTATAAAGTACACATGAATTGTATCCAAATGAATCAGGCATGGGATTTTTCCTGTTGTCAGTGTTCCCTCTGCCAGAGACAAGCCAATGAACAGAATCAAGGACCTAACTACAGTATATATCTTTCCCAGGTAGGTCTTCAGGTTTGGTTGCCACACATGTTTTCAAAGTCTATGCCTCCCAGGTACACATGTGTCCAAAGTAGATTAGGGCCATGGTACACAGAGAGAGGAAGCTTTACGACCCTCCTCTGCAATTTGCCCAAACAGAAACAGCGGGGGGGGGGGGCTATTTGCCTTGTTGAGCGTGCCACATGTACTGAAACTAGGGACACCTAGTTTCCTCAATGGGGCAAACAGTGTTCTCCTAGACTGGTTTCATGTCAGCAAAATGGTCCAGAGGGAAAATGGTCCAGAGGCAGGTGAACTAACTCTGTTTGAAGCTGCGGGTGAGAGTTCACACAAAGGAATATTCCCTCCAGTCTGAATCACATCCCACACCTCTGTGAGTCACGAACTCCCAGAACACATGCGCTGACTCAACCTGGGGTCCTACCTGGCAAAAATGTATTGCACAGACAGGCTCCAAAGATCACACTGCTAATCCATTCTGAACGTTTACAAACCTCTTATACACTAATAAAATTTTATTAGGGTGAATTTGAATGCTGTTTTAAGTCTAATAATATTGTATTTTATTGATGTAAGCCACCTGGAGCCTGCTTGCAGGGAAGGGCGGCCTAACAAGTCTAATTTAATAATTTTAAAAAAATTAAAAGGAAAGGTTCTGCCTCCAGGTTACTTGTCGAGAAGAGCTGGATCTCTACATGTTTTCTCATTTTACATAAATTACTTGTGAGGGGGCGGGGGACAGATGCTTCGCTCGTTCAAAGCAGATCTCGATGAAAGCGGCTTGGCCAATTGAAGAAACAAAGCATCTAGTTCAGTAACATACATTTCCAAGAGTTCTATTTCCTGGTAAAACCTATTTTGGCTGGCAGAATTTGCATCTCTGCAGTGGATCATAGGAATTTAATTGGATGAGAACCATGAACATGTCCACTTAAAGCTTTCCAAACTCTTTCTAGAGGCAATTTTAAAAAACACTACTTTTTTTAAAAAAGGAGAAATTGCAAAAGCAAAGTTTAAAGTATTACACAGATCATTGCAACTCGGTATGAAATCAGAATAGATTTAACAAAGTGATGTTGGTTTTCCTCACCTACAGGCCAGGATCTTAAACTATGTTTTAATCCTGGTTTATAGTCGAACCACCAAGCCACAATTTCTTAAAGAGCCCAATTGAGACATCACAATAAACTGGTTTCTTACAAACTCAGAATTCCTCTGTTGCTGTGTGGTGCTGAGTGAACCCTATTAGCCACAAGGTATAGATAGGGACTCTGGGGCAAGTGATGCTCTGTCTTCTTGGTGCTTGGAGGGGGTCAACAGTGGGAGGGCTTCTTATGTCCTGGCCCCATTGGTGGACCTCCTGATGGCACCTGGTATTTTTGGCCACTGTGTGACAGAGTGTTGGACTGGATGGGCCTGATCATTCCCATTTTAAATCCCAAATATGTTGGCCTGATCCAACATTGGTGTCTCTTATGTTCTTATCCCATGGACGTCCAGCTCATTTTAGTCCCAAACCAACTAGGCTTCGTCTGCTGGGTCTGAATGCATGTTCTGCCTATACGTGTAGAAGACCAGACAAGGAACACACAGGAACATATGGAGCTTCCTTATACTCAATCAGACCATCAGTCCATCAAAGTCAGTATTGTCTACTCAGACTGGCAGAGGCTCTCCAGGGTCTCAGGCAGAGGTCTTTCACATTGCCTGGACCTTTTAACTGGAGACGCCAGGGACTGAACCTGGGACTTTCTGCATGCCAAGCAGATGCTCTGCCACTGAGCCACAGCCCCTTCCTAAGTGTGTGTACGACATGTGTAGGTGAAGAGACAGTCAGTCACCTTGATACAGCTGTATGAATTTGGGATGCAGAGCCGAAGTGATCACTCCATCTGGCAGCTCCCTTAGAAATAACTTCAGCAAGCTGGCGGCTGAGCTCACGTCGCCCTCTGCAGGCAGCTCCACGGCCTCGCCGTTCTCGTACTTCGCTCGCAGGTGCTCCACGGTTTTCAGGTTACCATTCACCCTGAAAAGACCTTCTGATGCCAGCCCTGGAATTATAAATGGAAAGGAGACACAGTAACTAGCTCATCCTCTGTCATATATATATATATATATTTAAATTGTGGTGGACAGTGCCGTCAAGTAGCAGCTGACTTAGGGTGACCTGTAGGGGTTTTTAAAGCAAGAGCCAAACAGAGGTAGTTTGCTGTTGCCTGCCTCTGCATAGCAGCCCTGGACTTCCTTGGTGGTCTCCCATCCAAATACTGACCACGGCCAACCCTGTTAAGCTGCCTAGATCTGACGAGATTGGGCTAGCCTGGGCCATCCAAAAATTACCCACCCAATTATTTCCATCCTCATTTTAAAAATCTCACCATATTACCACAAGGGTATGGGTTCCGTAGAGAAGTCTGCGCCTTTTGAAAATGCTCTTGTCAATGCATTGACACAAGCACTCCTTGAAGTAAGCGAGGAAGTCAAAACATAAACTGGTATAAATACTGCAACGACGGTCATTTCATACAAAATTGTATTCCCATATGCATTTTGAGGAACTGAATTCCTTTTTTAGAAATAATCAAACCTAGCTGGGGAAGTAGTAATAAGAAGTAATAAAAAGTAGAGACATTACACTGCCAACAAAAGTCTGCATAGTCAAAGTGATGGTATTCCCAGTAGTAATGAATGGCTGCGAGAGTTGGACCATAAGGAAGGCCGAGTGTCGAAGAATAGATGCTTTTGAATATTGGTGCTGGAGAAGACTCTTGAGAGTCCCTTGGACTGCAAGGAGATCAAATCAGTCAATCCTAAAAGAAACCAACCCTGATTGTTCCCTGGAAGGCCAGATACTGAAGCTGAAGCTCAGATACTTTGGCCACCAAATGAGAAGGGAGCACTCACTGGAGAAGACCCTGATGCTGCGAAAGACTGAAGGTAACCGAAGATGGTTAGACAGTGTTATCGATGCAACAAACACGAAATTAAGCAAACTCCAGAGGACGGCGGAAGACAGGAGGGCCTGGCATGATGTGGTCCTGTCAGCTAGGCTGCTGCCATAGCTGGTGGAGGGGGGGAGGTGATGGATGGTACGTCAACTTTCATTTCTTCCTGGCTCATCTTATCTTCTAGCCTAGGCCGGTGACCTTGGTATCTTATTGCTGCTTTTGCTGGTTACGTAGACCTGTTGGGTTAGGCGGGCTTTTGCTTGTTCTCTGATTGGCCCGGGTCCATCGGGGGACCCCTTTGAATTATGTATAACTCCCCATTGTGCACACTTGCAATCCGTTCTAACACAGAATGTATGCACAGATGACCTGTCTTTACTGTACTCAATAAACTTCACTCTTCTGAATGGGTGTTGTTGGAAACTGATTACTGCAGGACTCTGACAGGTCCATGGGGTCACGAAGAGTCGAACTCAGGGGTCGTTTCGTAGAAAAAGAGCTAGGGGAACTCATTAGCATAACTCATTAGCATATGCCACACCCCCTGACATCACCGGAAGTGTGTCATAAGGCCACACACCCCGCCCCCGGCCGCCCATGAGGGGCCCGGCGGTGGACCTGCAAGGCCGGCGGGAGTGCAAGGAAGCCCCGCCAAGGCCCTCCCTGGCCCCAGGCAGGCAGGGGTGGGGAGAGGCAGGGAGGAAGCAACTTACCCTCCCTCTTCTCCTGCCTCCTCCTGGCTGAATGAGGGCCGGAAGCAGGGCAGCCGGAAGCAGGGGGCGGGGCTTCGTCATGTGCCCCGCCCCCCGTACCTCACCCGGGGGAACTGCGATCCCCCGCGGTCCCCCCTGAAATGACCTCTGGTTGAACTCGACTGTGCGACTGAACAACAATAACAACAAGCTGGGGACGACAATGACATACCACCTCTGCTCATCTCTTGCCGTGAGAATCCCATGGTCCTGGACTGCGCTGAGTCCATTGTGGCTTGGCAACACACAATTATTACTAATATTAGTTGGAGAAAGGGGACCAGACTCCTCCATATGTTGCATATTATGAAACCACAAAATTGGTAACTTAAATATTGCTTTAGAAAAGAGCAAGAGTTGATGATTAGTATACTTACGACTGCAAGAATTCTACTAGCTAGATTTTGGAAATAGGAATATATTCCTAAAAAAGAGGATCTAGTGTGTAGATTATTAGAGATGGCAGAGATGGATAAATTAAGTTTAATCCTTCAAGAAAAGGATGAAAAAGTGTTTGTGGAAAGATGGAAGCGTTTATATGAATGGATAGAGTTAAGCGGATAGTAGAAGACTCCAAGATGATTATGAAGATGTATGTGTTATAGATATGTATTTTATGAAAAATGAAAATAAATGATTTAAAAAAAAAAAGAGCAAGAGTCCAGTAGCACCTTAAAGACTAACAAAATATGTGGCAGGGGATAAGCTTTCATGAGTCACAGCTCACTTCTTCAGGTTTCTGGAGAAGTGAGTGGTGTCTCATGAAAGCTCCTCCCCTGCCACATATTTTGTTAGTCTTTAAGGTGCTACTGGACTCTTGCTCTTTTCTACTGCTACAGACAGACGAATACAGCTACCCATCTTGATCTAAATATAGCTTGTGCAACATGGGGCAAAAATGTATTCCTCTCAACTGATGAGAAAGATTGGAAGGACCCTTTGGTAAGAACAAAGAAATCAGTTTGCACCAAAGCAAGGAAACAGGAGTATCAAACTTTGCTGCAAATCTCATGCCACTAAAAAAAGTCTTTTATAAGTTGCCTAATATCTGTTAGAAAGGGTACTGATACTTCTTCACCCCAAGAGTAGTTAACACATGGAACTCACTGCCACAGGAGGTGGTGGTGGCTACAAGCATGGACGGCTTCAAGAGGGAATTGGATAAACACAGGGCTCTTTTTGTAGCAGGAACTCATTTGCATATTAGGCAACAGATCCCTAATGTAGTCAATCCTCCAGGAGCTTACAGAGCTCTTCTTACAGGGGCTACTGTAAGCTCTTGGAGGATTGGTTACATTAGGGGTGTGTCACCTAATATGCAAAGGCATTCCTAAAGAGCCCTGGTAAACATATGGAGCAGAGGTGGCTATTAGCTACAAGGTATAGATAGGGACTGTGGGTCTGAGGCAAGTGATGCTCTGTATTCTTGGTGCTTGAGGGGGGGCAACAGTGGGAGGCTTCTAGTGTCCTGGCCCCACTGGAGGACCTCCTGATGGCCACTGTGTGACAGAGTGTTGGACTGGATGGGCCATTGGCCTAATCCAACATTGGCCTCTCTTATGTTCATTGCCATTGTACCAAATTGAGAAAAGGCCATCGCTCTGTGGCAGAGCTTCTGCTTTGCATATATAAGGTCCTAGGTTCAGTCCCCAGCATCTCCATTTAACAGGAATTGGAGTTACAGGTGTTCGTAAAGTCCACTGCATACCTAACAAACAATGCCAATGAACAGCAGGCAGTGATGTCCTCGAGGGGGACCTATGGTCTTCATATATGTTCACAGTAGATCTGTCCTTCAACAAAATGTTCTCATCAATGCATATTTATTGGGGTCGGTGGGGCCATTCTTGTAACCTTGTCCTCAGAATAGTACTTTCACATGCATGTACTCTAGCATTTAATAGGTCACCACACACAGAACTAATTGTTCATCTGTTCCTGGCAGCCAGAAGAACTATTGCTGTTCAGTAGAGGAGTAACAGATACACCGATAAGGAAGTCCGGCTGAAGGACAATCTGGAAAATTTCAGCCACAGCACAGCTGACTTGGCTATTAAAATTAAAGGTCAAAAAGATCTTGAGAGATTTGCCACAACTTGGATTCCTTGCTTATTTTATATTGTGCCAAACTACAATAGTTCTAGAATCCCAAATCAATATAATGGGTTTGGGCCAATGGTAGATTTCCATTAATAGAAGCAAGGGAATTTTTGCTGAATTCTCCCCTTCCACTGCAAATTCACTCCTCATGCAGGTTTCTGGGTGTCTGCTCTCCCCAGGGGGTAACTGTGGAATCCTGGAGCATACCTCTATGCGATGAAGACACCACCGTTGAAAAGCCCTGGGCACGTCTCCCATGGGGTCAAATGAGTACCCCAAATCCAAAGGATGCTTTGGTTCAACACCTGTTGTCTCCTCATGTCCCCCAAGACCAAACCAAGCAACTCCTGTGGTACTGCCAGGGGCTATTCAGCTCAGCTTGCTCCAAGGCCACTTTAACGTTTATTTATTTGGATATTTATACCCCATTTTTCTCCGCAGTGGGAATCCAAAGGGGGTTATTGCACTGCTCTTCCCTCCTGCATTTTATCCTTAGGGCAAGAGAGAGTGACTGGCTGAAAGCCACCCAGTGAACTTCCACAGCAGAGCAGGGATTCCTACCTAGGCCTCCCAGATCCTAGTCAATACTCTAATCACTACACTAAGGTGGCACACTCTTAACATTCCTATCCATCCCTGGCCTTAGGTAATGCCCTATTTCTTAACCCACCCATAGGATTGCTAATTAGAGCTGCCAAGCCCCCAGTGGTAGTGGTGGGGATTTCCTTCCCCAGATCCCACTGGAGAAAAATAATGGCCTCATCTACTTACAGGACGCTCTTACCACAGAGTTCCTGGTGATTCCTAGAGCAACCAGGAAGTGACAAAGGGTAGCTCTAGGAATTGTCAGGAACTCTATGATAAGAACTTCCTGTAAGTAGATGAGGCCTTATTTTTCTTTTTCATTTTTCTCCCAGGACTCTCCCCCTCTCCACAACCCTCCTGCTAATTGCCTATTACCAACCTCCAGATGAAGCCTGGAGACCATCCGGAATTATAACTGATCTCCAGACTACAGAGTTCAGTTACCCTGGAAAAAAACGGCTGCTTTGGAGGGTGGACTCTATGGCATTATACCCTAGTAAGAAGAAGCTGCGGTGGCTCAAGTGGTTAAGACGCTGAACTGCAGGCTGTGGAAGGTCAGTAGTTCAGCAGTTCGAGACCCGAGTTGCCGCATGACGGAGTGAGCTCCCGTCTCTAGTTCCAGCTCCTGCCAACCTAGCAGTTCGAAAGCAAGAAATTTCAAGTAGA